ATATTTTTCTTTTGGAGATGGACAGGCTGTAATAAACAAAGAGTGAGATACATTTGTAAAACATGTTTTGATAATTTTTAATATTGTTCATTATAAAAATAAATAACCGCAACAACGAATTACAAACAATGAATAACAATGAATTGCCTTCAAAATTCCTTATGCATGTATTAGTTAGAAATAAAATGCCCGGTTTAATTTAAAATATAAATTTAAAAAAAATGTATTGATGTATTTTGATATTGCGATATTTAAATTTTAATTTCTCGAGAAAACTGCAGATATACTAGTATGTTTCCAGAATGTATATTGTATATGTATATGTTGTTACAACGTTGTTCTTTTAAAGTCGAAAAGTCTTAGCGAATAGCGAGAGATCTATTGGTTTTACTGTGGTTTTGTATTTTTTTTACTTTTCTACCAAAAATCATACTCTGATGTATCAATAGTAGCACTTTTTCTGAAAGGAAATTTTATCTAATTGGTGCATCGAGAAGATCATTTTTTGATTTCCTAAGGGGTTTTCAAAATAATTGGGAAGACGGGAAAAATAAATAAATTTATGGCGTTACGATTCCTTTATTTCAAATTTCTATGGCTTATGTTTTCTATACCAGACATATTGATCCAATAGAAAAAGAACAAAGAATCTTTTTTGTAGCACTTTTAATCTAGTTGGTCGGTAAGTTATTCGATTTTAGTTGTTTTGAATTATACAAGATTATACCTACAGTTTTTGAACTTTTTGTACGTTTTTTTCGCGAAAAAATGTTTTTGCCATATACTTAGGTGTATGATGGTTGAGAATCATTTCATTATTTTTATTTTCGCATACAGATTAATGTCTTATTACATTTTTATTTGTAATATGTTTTATATATATTTTTTTTTTTTGTGGTTAGAAATGATTATATAATTTAGTTGTATTTAATATTGTTTAATATTCGTTTGAATTTGAATTGTTTTTAAATTTTAAAAGTATATTACAAAAGAACGTATAATAGTTAATTGTTTTCTTGAACAACCAATGTTTGAACTATTTTTTTTTCGTTTTTAAAAAGTTGAATATTACAATGTTAAACGACTTTTTAGAACAAATAACATTATTGCAATCGTAATTTATTCGTATGCTTTCGTTTGATTATTACAAATTACATATTGTATACAGTGAACAATTATTGTAATATTTTATTAAATATTCTGTTTTTATTATTTGTTCTGAAACTTCTTTTCGATTCAATTTTGCCAGTACGTATAATATTTTCTTAAATTCTCTAGTGTCTAAATTTATAGAGTATTATACTCTTCTAGTTTTTTAATTTAAGTTAACAGCTATTTGACGATTTAATAGATTATAAATGGATAAAATTCATTATACATAAAAAAAAATTCTCCGCTTATTACTAGAAATTTTGGTATGCATAACACTTTTACTGATTTACTGTTTATGAGTTTAACCGTTTAAAGTTTAGACCGTAGGAGTAGGGAAGAGTTATCAACTTATCATTCAAAAATAGATATGTATTTTATGCCTTCCCTACTCTTCAAGTCTAAACTTTAAACTGTCATAATTTATAAACTGTAAATCTGATATTAGTGTTATGTATATCAAAGTTTCTAGAAAAATATTCTCTATTGAAATATGTGTTCAAAAATGGGGCTCCTATTTGAAAAACAAAAATATGTAGTTATTTAAAGTACATGGAGTAGGCCTAAACAATTGAAAACGGTTTTAAAATAAAGTTTAACTGATACCACAATGATTAAAAAAAAAAAAAAAAAACATAAATTAAATTCACTTATAATTCTTCGAGAAAATTGCCGGTTCATGACAAAAAAAAACTACTCTATCTATATACATAAATGATGTTACATTCGAAGCGTAGCAAGGGATCTATTGGTAATTTCTATGGTGTATTTTTTCTTTTTAAATTTTTTTTCTGCTTGTGAACCACTTTTCTACCAGAAATCTTGCTCCAACCGAAAAACGACTAGAGATCGATTTTGTACCATTTAATATTTAGTCACCGACAGAGGAAATCATTTGTTGATATTTAATGTAATTCTCATAATAATTGGGAAATACCAAAAAAGACAAAAATACGATTTTTTTCAAATTACGGTGCAATGATTTTATTATTTAAAATTTTTCAAATATTTCTGCCAGGTATATTTTTGTCCGGATTTCTAGAGCAGCATATTTTCTAAGAAAAAATATTGTCTAGTTTGTTTTTTTATTGTTTGATTTTCCGTCTGATAATATGAAATATGTTTAATATTGATTGAGTGATAGCCTACCGTAGTTACTACTCGTATAATAGCGTTTTCCATCTGACTACACTCGTGTACACTGCACGCGTGCACCTGGAAGTGCGCTGCGATCGTATTCATGATTATATGAAGTAGAACATGAGCTGCAGTGATACTATATCACTGACTGTACTAGAATTTTTCGGAAATGTGCATGCACACATGCACCTAAAGACTAAAATAACTGAAATGTGCCCATAAATATGCAACTAAATTTTTTTTAAATAGCGATAAATTTATTTATTCGTCAAATTTTAAGTTTTTACAATATGGTTAATAAATATTTTACAACATAATTACTTTGTAGGGTGTACTTCTTTTTTATTGTCTTTTCCTCCTATGATGAAAAATAAACCAGTTACATTTTTTTTTATATATGTAAAAATAATAAAATATTTACTTACACAATTGCACCGTTTATCTAGTAAGACATTTTTGATGTTATCGAATGGAAATAATGCACGACGATCGTCAGTCAACATATTTTTGTAAGTCGAAAAAGAGTGTTCCACGTCTACAGACGTTATTTGAGCACATGTATAATTTGATAATTCATTATTACTTTTAAATATTCCGGTAATCCATAAAGACTTTCTTCGTCTCCGGATAAAACTGGAAATTATTTATTATTAACAACTATATAAAAAAAAAAAAAAAAAAACATCTACACCTATTTAGACAAAACGTAAGAATATAATATTATAGTGTATCGCAAAATATACTTATCAAATATGACCTACATCGTGAAAATTAACGGTGTCGTTTTTATACATTCGTGCAGTAGATACGACTACAATATACACCCGTCACGGGGAATTCGCTTTATTTACCATTGCACCGGTGACGGCATTTGACGACAACTAAGTGTACACGAGTGCAATCGGATGGAAAACGCTCTAAGTTACTGTCCCCCAGCTTTGCATATTGGCTACGGGACCGTGCGATATCGGGCGATTGAACGCGTTATTATTTTTAAATACATTTTCATTATCACGTCCGGAGTCTGCAGGTTGGTTATAAGAGCCGAGCGGTCCGTCGGTATTGCCGGCTGTATAATAATATCGATTTTTTTTTTTCACTTTTTTTTTTTCATCTCAATAATGATTTAACAACTTTTCCAAAACGACGTGTTTTACGCGACTCGCGTCGTACGCGTTATAAAATATTTCCGACGACCTATTATCCAATAACGCCCGCGAATATTATTACACAGCCAAACATTATGGCCGTACGGTAATTCGAGTCTCGACTACCTGCCGTAAAACACAATGGCGACCCGCTCGTTCCGGTGCTTAGTCGGAAAACATAATACTATTGTACACCGCGTGGGTCGCGGACGATGTTTTACGGCATATATTATTCTGCACTGTAAAGACGTATGTGGGTTACGTAATGTGAAAATATTGTTCCGTTTTCCGAGTGAGGGGATCGCAGCTGAAAAACACTGCGGCGTACTGCTTAATATAATTACCTCCATCAATTATTGTCAAAACCAAATCGCACCACTCTAGGTTTTAGAAAAAAAAAAAAAACGCGTATTATAAACACTATAAGTAGTGCGCAGGTATTTGACGAGTCGAGTTTTGGTAAATCGAACTTAAAGTATTATCCCAATCAGATTTCATTTCAGAAAAAAGTGTTACACTTGAAAATCGGAGTAGAACTTCTAGTCGAAAAGTTATTCACAAAAGAAAAAAAAATCATTGTAAAACCTATATATTTCTATCCCCGATAAGAATATAAAATTTAAACGTATTGAACAAAACAAAAGTTATTACATTTGTTGAATCTTTGTGGGACACCCTGTATAGCCTACACCTTTCCAACTTCCTACCAATAGTGGCCTATCCGTGTCATGAAGTATGTTTAGCTTTTATTACTTAGTATTTTACAGCCAAGTGAAACTTATTAAATATATAATATTTATTGATAGAAGTTGAAAAATTGTGTTAACATAATATTTTTATTTTGTTTGGTAATATATTTTCTTATAAACGAGCTTTTAAAAAGTTATGCATATGTAAATTACTTGAGAAATTGTTTTTCGAATTCGATTACAAAATATATTCGACGTCGCTATTGAATTTTAAACGATAATATCAAAATTACATAGCTCATAATATATACTATTGTATGCGATTCATATTATTCAATTTAAATTGAATACTACTACTATATTGGTACTATAGATTAGGTAGCTGTCTAAATGTAAATCAGATAGGTAGGCAATTACTCCTCGAGAAAATTGCATATTTTAATTTGCACTTGACAATAATGTTCCAATATTCGTCGTAATACGAAATAATAACGTATTTTTATTTGAAATTTATAAATAATTGTATACACTATTGTTTGCAAAGATCTTTATAAGTTAGGTTAAAGGCTTTAAAGGTTTATTAATACCCGTAAATAGTCTAATAATATTTTTTTGTGGGGAAGCGCTTAACACTCAGTAATATTGGTTATGTATACTTAGAATTTACACGATAAGGACTTGATTTTACGGTGATGGGTTTTGGCTGAGTTTTGGGTAGATAGGCCCCTCAAGCCTCCCCTATTTTCACCTATAGCTTATATGTTCACTAATAAAGTTAAATAAATAGACGGTTAATAGTCATTTTTAAGCAAACGTTCTCCCGGATCTTTCAGTTCAAGGTTCAGCAATAACATTGCATAACATTATACATACGATGGGCTTGTTAAGTACAACGTATGTATACATAGGTAATTCAGGCTGTATTCGATGCATGACTCATTTCATTTTTCAATAAATCCGAACGACCCACGCGAAACAACTTATTAGCAATACATATCTATTATTAACACTATACATTCATACTTGTATAGGCTTTATAGGTATTCGGAAATAAGTTCAGACTATAACAATATTATGCTAAACCGTTATTCTGTTCGTGACATTTGTATAAACTTCCCATATACCCCATTCGCCTTAAGTTTAATGACGAATGTCACACGATATAATAGTACCTAATAATAATAATAATAATATTCAATATGCTTCGAGACAATTGCGATTAATATTATGCCAAAAGTTGGTCCAACTATGTATACTCGAGTAACAGTGTATATAAGGTATACCACACAAGGACTGTTCTTTGAAATCTCAAACTCTTCATCGTATAACAATAATCCTTGAACGGAATTTTCGATCCACTGTGTAGGAGGTATACACGACTTGAAACTCACCTAATTTAATTAGACTATATTTTGTCGCGTTTAATCTGATTTTCATTGTATATAAACTCGAGGTTGTCTCGAAACCACGGTTACTGAACAATAATTTGCAGGACCACCTACTTATGCATGTTTAATTTAAAGTCACACTGTTGTGATTATTTAAATTAAAATTTCAAATTGGATCTGTAGTTATGTTTTTAAAAAAGCGTTGTTAAAAACCTGAAAATTTATCGTGATTATCGAAGAGAAAAATAGTTTTTATGTTATTTTTATTATTTAAAAGTTTACCTATAATATCTTCTTTAAGATTTACAAAATAAAAAAAATGTGATAGACCAGTGTTAAAAAATAAATAAAATCGAACACTGTTATTTTACAATGTATAAAAAAAAGTTCATTGCAGGTGTTAGAGATTCGATTAGATTAAATTTTCAATAGATCTTCTCACACCGGATATCGATGGAAAGTGAATTTTCACCGACTGACGCGACGACAGTTTATTCCAAAAAATAATTTTGTATAATGATCCGTTTTCGTATTATTATAATAATATTGTTGATTATTATTTATACCTGCTTTCGATAAAAGGTCAGTTAATCGCTAACCAATTACTGCGACACTCAACCATACCAAAATTATTGTTATTATCATCGTCTTGACACGGTTGTTTTGATTTTTTGGATGTTTTCCGTAACTACGTTACCGGAACGGTTTCACTTGCGACAATAATGCGCTTTCGCGATTGGGCCACAACTATACGGGAGGATTATTGAAGTTCGCGATTAGACAATTATAATAGTACGGACCTTGGACTAATTTGTGTGTAGAATTTAATTTATTCGTGTGTTTAGTTATTACTGTATTCGTGCTGAAATATCATATTATGTAACTTGATTTTCTTAATAAGGATGTACGCATTCTTCAATAAAAGAATGAGTACACTTGATCCGTTCAGTTTAACCAAGTTTCAATCTAAGTTTAATCTCAAGCGTCTTTAATTTAAGATAAGTTTTATCAAAATATAATCAAATAAAATATTTAAAAAATATTAGAAAATATTAAATGGCTATAAAAAGCTCAAAAATCATCAAAATGGTTTGAAAATTGGATCACCTCTAAAAAAGACTTGAAAATGTATGTTCTTATAATTATTTTTCATTGAATTACCAAAAAAAAAAAAAACATAATCGAAAATAACAGACATCGTTGCTTAAAATTTTCTGTTTATGTGTTTTTTTTTTTTTTTTTAAGGTTTTTTCATAATTATTGTAGAAAACCAAAAATCAAAATCAAATTATTTCTTCTAGGCAAAATTTGCTTTCAAAAAAGATGCTAGACTTGAAGAACGAACGGTGATCTCTAGTAGAAAAATTATTTACAGACAAACAAAATCTACACAGTATTGTAAATCCAATACATTCTTATCCTTACACTCAGAATCTAAAAAATGAACGTCGGAAATATTTGTTTAGTTAATAAGACTAAAATTACTTGACCGCTATTTTGTATGTAAAACAAAGCGAACCCGGAGAAAGAAAATTACTCCAAAATTTAAAAATTCTTCGAGAAATCGGTGCAGGTTCAAAATTGCATACCTTTGCATGTTATAAATTTACAGTAAATCTTCTCTATACAACCAGTGTATCGTTATATTTTTTTTTTTCATCAGTTCTATTTTACTCTTCTTAGAAAAAGCTCGTCGGTGATCTAGAAAACTGTTTCGAATAAAGTAATTTCTACGTACATATACGAGCGGATATGTCCCGACTGACAGTCTGACAGAGAATCAACGCACAGCCTAAACCGCTGGGATTAGAAACTTGACACTTTCACAGTAGGTACCTTTTATACAACAGACATCTAATAAAGAAGGGTTTTTGAAAATTTCACCCCTCAAGGATAGCTGACACAGAGTTTTTTTTAGTATTTTCGGAACAAAAATTAAATTTTATTTGTTGATTTATGTATAGGTTATATCTTGGTTGTCACAGGTAAAAAATAAAAAAACTATTATCGATACGTATAGTAATCTATTACTGTTATTTACACTATTATATTTTTTTATTTTATTTTTATGTGACGGGCAACAACAGTTAACTGTGATAGGCGGATAGGGGTGGAAACGAGCGTTTAATATTAACACGGATAAAGCCATGCGGGACATGTTTCCCAACGACGAGCGGTGTGAAGGGGTAAAGGGGTTCTCGAGAAGGTCGAAATGATTTTTAACGACGAGGGGAATAGAGAGGACCAAAATGGGATATTCCGCAGAAGGCCAACGGGAAGTTTTCAAACGGGAACCCGTTAATTGAACTCGAACAGTTGGTTCCCGGGAAGGTCTGAAAAGCTTTGCGATGTGAGATTCCCGATAGGCTAAACTAAATTCTAAACTGTACACGGGCGAAGTCGTAGACAAAGTCGCAGGTAACACAGTAATATTTTTATTCTACTAATTTTTATAATAAAACATTCGATCCGACCAAAAAAATTGCCCGGGCAACGCCGGACAGTACAGTCCGGTAATAAAATGTTCATGTTGATACAGACGGGCGGAAAATTAGTATTTTACACGGTAACCACAATGGTGCGTTGTGCGGTTCGGCGCATTTTGATGGCAGTTTCTTCGCTACGTTCGGGATTTCATAAGACCGAAGAAGATAGTTTATACTTTTAACGCGCACTTATAAATCGTTGTTTTAACGATACGCGGGGGGGGGAGGGGGAGGAGGAAATGCACCGATCACAAAATTACGTTGCGTTTTATTTACGCAACGGCATAAAAACGACGGTCGTCTCTTACCTACACTGTATTATTATGTGCGAACTCTCGATTGATGTGGGAACACGCATGTGTAAGTCACGGTCTGTTTACTGCGGGCATTTTTATACTCCTCTGGCGGCAGATTACGTACGTACGTTAGTATAAATCGATTATTTTTTAACGCGAAACATATTGGCCGATATTTTTCACTTGTAGAGCCTGATTGGGAGCGGAGATTGTATTTAGTTGGCGTATTTGACTTAGTTTTATGGCGGTGGAGGGGGGAATACTAAAATTATTATACACTAGGTGTGTAATACATAAGCCTATATTCTATCCTATCGGTCTTACCACGGAGTGTTTTTGTTTTTTATTTTTGCGTCCGATGACACTTTTCTAGCAGACATAATGCTAAACATTCAATTTCAAAGGAGATTCTGAGATTTGTATACATATATATATATATATACATGTATAGCAAAACGTATATATCAAATACTTGCATAAATTAATTGACGGTGGGGGCGATCGCCCCTTCCCCTCAAATACGCCACTGATTGTGTTGATTCTTCTGGGATGTGTGTTTGTTTTTATTTTTCCGCCGGAATAGCTTTTCTACCAGCCATCGTGTTCCAGTGTAGAATTAATGAGAGAAAACCTTTTTTGTTGCATTTTGGAAAATTACGGCGTATCAAAACACAGTACTTTATAACCGAACTCCACTCAGAATCGTTTTTCGTTAGCAACAGTTTATCGTTGCGTACAGGTACTAGTTAAATCACTTTGTGACTTGCGTATCGTAACCTAATTTAACCAATCATTCGGTACCGAATGTAAAAACAAATAATATTGCGATCGACAATTACAGTGACTACGCGTATTCAGTATTTCTCTAGGTGGTGAATACGAACGATTTCATTTATAGCCCCGGCGGGTTACCCCTCTCCGCCCCGATGTATAACAATTCTATACATTCTCCTCATTTTCGATGATACCATTAATTCTAACAAAAATTAAAAGTAATCAATTAACGCCAATCGTCGTTACGTTTGAATTTAAAAATATATTTATGAAAAAAGCCGCGCTCGCGGATCTTTTCCCAGATCAGTTCCCGTAAATCCGCCACTAGACAATCCACGAATTTACCCGAATCCGGTTGAAGCCGTTGACTGACATTTCGGTCTCCGTTTCGTGTCCGTAGTTTCGGGCCGCGACGAGGTTTTCGAAGCACGAAACATTTTCAAGGTTCGACGATGACGATGCGGCGTTCCGAACACTCTCACCGAGAAGTGCATCATATATTATAGTAATAATATTTACAACACCGCGCCGTTATGACACGTGCAGAACAACGCGTTACGGTTAATATCTGCGCGGGAAAACCCCTACGTCGCGTGACGTCACCGATTGGGTCCGCGGGGAGTTGTATTGCAGTGTCGTTTTCCTTATGATCTTCTCGCGCAAAAAACATCGTTACTGTCGAGCTCTGAAATATCGCGACGCGAAGATCCTCGGCTACGGCGACAATGACGCGATCGCCGGTGAAAGTGTTTTGACGTCGACAACGAAGGTTTTGTAATTGCACACACACAGCTGCGGCGCGCGTGTCCAGTCGGCCATGGGATTTACCGGACGCGGACACGAAACGACACCGTACTGCGGGCATACAAGACCGACCGGCGGCGGCACCACCTGATAATGCCTTGAAACGTTTCGGTCCGTCAGTAATAAAACGGACGCCCGTTCGCACACTGCACACGCGCGCCACGAAGTTTACAAACGTGCGCACCGCTGTCGATTCGCCGCTCATCCAGGGAATTATCTATTATAATACACTGCCCGGGAAATTACTGCTACCGTGCTCTGCCCAGGAATTACCTGCTGTACTCCGCCGTAACGCGCTATCCCGTCCGCAAGGTAAGCCGAACACATTTGTTTTTTTTTTTTTCGTGTCGTCGCCGGTTAAAAGCGTTGCTCGTGCAAGTCGTACAAGTCATAATTTTTTAATATTTCGCGTCGGTCTTTTTTGCGTTTGTTTTTGGAGACAATATCTGATTTTTTTTTTTTTTTTTGAAGTGATGCGCATGTGTTTTTCAATCGAATTCGAAATTTTTGTATTCACTATTTGCAAACTTTCATACTATTTTCGCGTGCGTCCTTTACTGTAGTTTTTGAAATCTGTGCAAATTTCGATAGTTATAACATCTAATGCATTGCATGCGTTAATAATAGGAAACGAGACCGGATAGAATATTTATAACAAAATGTCGAACTCGGTTAAAGTGAAAATGTACGCGTTTATGAATTTTACATGCATTGGTAGTTGTTTGATACAACTACCAAACAGCGACTTTACGGCCACAAAGCGACGAAAGCTAAATTATTAGGTTAAGTCAAACTCAAACCCGAACTTTGTAACTTTTAAATTACTTTTTGTCACTTATTGGTGGAAAACGCGTTACTTTTCCAGAAGACGTAATTTCCTACTTGCAAGTTACTCGATTGAACGCTAATATTCCATGTCGATTATAATCAAATGACGTGTTGGAAATAGTAACATTTTGTTTGTACGCATGTTTACAATGTTGTTTGTGGCGACGTTTTTCGGTTTGAAATATTTGACCCGGATTAGCGCTGTAAAATATTCAAAAATACTAAAACGTAATTACTAAAATTTCTCATCGGAGAGAGAAACTATAGGTAAACGTTTAAAAATCAATATTATTATAATTGATATTTATTTAGTCTAGTTTATTTAAAACTCGCAGTTCGAACTGCAGTGACTTATTTAGCTGTAATGTAACTATTACGATAGTCGTTTTGTTTCGTCGGATAGCCTATCGACCCCGACTCGGTTACTACTCTATCGTATGTCCCGGGGGAAAAAGGAACGTCATTGTACGGCAGGTCATTATTGCATAGCTTTTTAACACGAGCGCGGATTAAATTTCAGAGAATTTCTAAACGGCGCGATCGCAGGCGAACGAAAAACGAATTTACAGTTCTTCCTTCCCCGCGTAAAAGGTCCGGCGGCGCGCCGCTTTGCGCGGCCGTTAAAGTCGAACAGCTCGGCCGGTCTCGCCGACGGGCAGTGACGAGTACCGAAATGCGCGCGGGTAGCCAAGTGCGCGGGCCGCGCTCGTGTTGCGCCGAAACGTCGCCGGTTTCACCGTAACTGTGACGCGGCGACAGGACTGCGTTCTCGCATTGACCGCTACCGCTCGAACAAAATATGTCGTCGGCGCGAAAATTCTCGCGGGACACGGCCGCGCGCGACGTGTGACGGGCACAGCGTACACCCGACGCGAACCGCGACGCCGTGTTCGACTGTGCGCGCGCGCTTTCTAATGTCGTTCGCGATATTTGTCGTTGTTGTTGTTGCTATGATATTTCGAACGATGTTTAACGAAATGCCTAGACGCCCGCGCGAACCGCAACATAATATCGTGTTGCAATCTGTTCGTATCAACCGCGTGCGTCTGACTGCCGGTCGCGCTCCCGGTTCTTTTGCTGTGCGCGTGCGCGTTGTTCGAACGAACGTTCAACGTACACGCGATCCGATCGGTTACCAAATAATTTTCGGCGGTCGATAAAACGGGCGCGTCGCGGTTTTCGGATCCCGAGCGGATCGAGGAATTCCCGTCGGTTTTACTACGGCGCGTGTTTCCCCCCCCCCCGTTCGTTCGACATGTCTTTTCGGCAACACTTTTCGGGCCGTGAATCTTACTTCAATCGAAAATCCCGCAGAAATTCAATTAGGACGAGGCCGGTTTTTTTTTCTTCAGTTTTTCCCGTAGTTTTCTCTATGATTCGCGCGGAGTTCGTCCGGGTCAGAACTCGACGACGGGCAAATATCCCGCTAAAAATCGTCATTCGTTACCGATAGTTTATCGCCGTCGCGATGCGCCACGCGTACGGATATGGGCGAAATCACTCCGCGTGTTCTCCCGTTCAAATTCCTTCCCCTAAAGTCCGTCACGCCCGTCTGTAACCGCAATACCGGTCAAATATTACGTACCCAGACACTCTAGTCGTATCTCACCGGGTCAGTACGCGTAATTTTTAAAACGAGGACATATCGGTGAACACGCGTTATTGAACACTCCGAAGTTTTTTGAGTGGGCGTTTTTATGTCCCGCGAACTTTTCAAATCCGATCGTTTTTTCGGATATTTAGTGTAAATTTTTTCACGAAACGATTTTTTTTTTTTTTATTTCGAGCAGTACGTATCTGTTTTTGGATACCGTACAGATGCATTGTCTCCGTTTTATCGCTATAAATCGCACGCCCCCTCCAAGACACGTCAGGAAACACTGTCCTGATAGTTACGTACCTCTGCATATTGTTTTTCTCAGGCTCGGAGCATGTATATATGAGTTTAAATTATTTACATATTTTAGCTGCGTTCAATATGTGTGGAGTATTCAAACTGTAGTTACGATGATGGTGGGGGTATTAAAGAAGAAAAAAAGAAAAAATAAGAAAGGAAAACAAAGTCAACCGAATTTTATTTTAACATCAACTCTCGGATTCTGCCGCGGCAGAAAACCGCTTATTTCATGAAAATATATGTACTTTCTCTCTCCAAATTTTTCGTCCCTAGAGTAATCGATCAGATAGTATCAGACTAAAAGGGTTTTAAACTTTTCTGCTCGTTTTCGTGAAAGATTAGTACCGTAGTTTGTTGTACGTGTGCCGCGATAAAAGCAATTTATATCTGGAAACAATATAACTTTTAAAACCGCGTGCGGGAATATACAGAGTGAATCTATAACCTGCAGAAATCATTTTAAACATATCTAGTAAATTCGATTTTGATTTTTATAACCAACGTGTGTATCATCTACAGATTCTGTTCATAATGTGGAAATCCATGTATTTTTTTTTCTTTTAATTTCTTTTAAATTTAATTTTGAATATATAAAGGGGATTATGATCTTCCTCCCTGGGTTTTCGGGAATGTGCATTGAAAATCTAAAACGTTTGTACGCGGTAAAGGACATAGTTTTAAACTCGCCCTCCACCCTAGACAAATTTCTACGGGTCCCCACGACAAGAATCGACGTATTATAATACCGCCGGGGGTCAGTGGTGGTTGTCGACCGCGTTCTTAGCAATTTACGAGGCTTAGGGCGAAATTTCAATGTTTTTATTATACATTATAATTAGTATTTTTTTTTTTTTTGTCGAACGCGAGGCATCAAATCTAAGTGAAAAGCGCGTGGTCCCTTTTTAAGGACGGCTCCGGATGCTTCCTCTTTTCGGTCCGTGGATTTTTACAATATTTAATTTGCACTTTTTATCTAACTAAAATAAGGAGAAAGCAAGTGTAACGCGTTGATAAAAACGTGAGTATTATATTTCTGTTTGAGGTTTGTGCTGATATACACGCGGATAATAACACTGGTATCGTACGAGCGCCGCGATATTGTTAATTATTTATCAAGCTGCGGCATGCGGATATGGATATGAATACGCGCACGTTATTATCTGATTTATTATGATTTTCATTTTTTTATTTATGCGCAGCGTACCTATTTAATGTAGTGCAGTATGTTTTTTAGACGTTCGCGTTTAAGTGATTTTTTTTTTTTTTTTGGTGAGGGGGGTCGGGGATAGAAAACGAAGGAATTTCGAAAATTAAAAAACTTCATTTCATCGCCGCCCTCTTCCCCTATAAACTTCAAATTCGGATACTGACGCGCAGTCGTCTGCGGAAAAAGTTAAGAGCAACGGTTTTCGGCCGTTGTAAACGATTACGCGTTTACACACACGAGACACTGTACGGCGACACTTTCTCTGTAATATTATTATCGAAAAATAAATAAGTAATAACAACAACAACAACAACAACAATAATAATAATAATAATAATAATAGTATAGAAAATACGCGTACACTGTGCGGCAAGAAAATTGCGCGCGGGACGGCGGGAGTGAGCGAGCGCGCGTGGCCGACACTTTTAATTCGGCCTCGCATTACCCGCAGAGGTGTACACGCTCTGCGAATATCGTAACGCGCGTTTCGTTACGCGCATGTTGCCTGGCGCGCGTTTCGGCGCGGGGATTCAATACAATTCCGTTCTGTACGCAAATACACAAACACGTTCATAATGATAATAATAATAATAATAATAACAGTAATGTAATCGTTTTACACGCACACACGCACGCGTCGTCGCGTTATTTATATTGCTCAATAATCGTATACGTATCGGCGACGCTGACCGCGCGTTATGTGATCGGCGCGGCGGCCGGGGACGCGCGCGCGTGAAAGCGATCGCTCCGCCGCCGCGCGCCCGGCCGTCGGACGCGCGGCCGCGCTCGTAACAATAATAATGCGATATGTTTTATCATTCGACGCATAATGTAATAATAACGCACGTATACAGGGTGTTGCCGAAGCGATCGAGCCAACTAGTGTACCGCCGCACGTTCGGCCGGGCGTCCGAACGGCACGGTGTAACGTACGGTATGTGCGTTTCAGGGCACTAAAACATTTTTTTTTTCAGGGAGCGCGAAAAACTGTCCCGCAAGGAAACGGCGAAACGGCTTTTAACGGCGTTTGTCACAGTAAACGATAGAAATTTCCCGTACGCGTCATAATACCTCGTGCACAAAATATACACGCATTGAACGCGGTACACGGCCTTTTAACAAATCAGCGTTGATTTAATTATATATTTTGAAAAGGGAGCCCGGATGAATATGTTTTAGTCGACATCACCGACATCATTTACTGTCGAACATTTAAATACGCCCTTTTACCAGGAGTTTACGCTCCTAAATTTTCTGTCGCCAAAAACGTATTTTTCGATTTTTAGCGGTATACGCCCGTGGTGTTTAGCAAAACATCAACGAATTATTTCTGGTGTTTTCCCCCTGCGTTTTATATTCTCACGAGTCCCAAAACTCGATAAATAACCGGCGATTGTTCTCGCAAAGTCCTCGTATCGACGCGTCACAAGTCACGCGATTTGTGCACGTTCTCGGAGGACTATCTGCACGGTACCCACAATTTGCAGGGTTCGGATTTCGTAGGTATTATTATTTATTGGATAAACATACGGGCGGTGTGTGACATACTCCGCCAAAGGGCTCTTATGGTCATGTTATAAGCGTGTAATTCGGTAATTTTTCGTTCTATGAAATCCGAGCCATGATAATTTGCGAGCGTAATCTGGCTTATATACTTGATCAACATAGCTGGGTGTGGTGCAATTCGCAAATTAATCTGTAACCTTGTCGACTAATCAGTAATCGGTAATGTTTTAAGATTTCGAAAATTGAATTATGCTACGATTTTTCCTGTATTATACGATTACGAATACGTAGATACAAATATATGCCATTTTAAGCGTCAAAATTATGCGAAAATGTAACACGTGACTCGTCGTCGATTGATATATTACGAGGACATTGCTGGGGATGTCGTGGACGAATTATTTTTATTTCCAGGATTTTGGACTTTTGGAGAGTCAAATTCTTAAAATATCGACATTCGTGTACTTCGCTGACTATAGTTTATTCGTTGGTTACCGAAATAACCATGCGTATAGGAACGTCAGTACGTGCACGGGGATCGCAATCAGAAAGCGCACGCGACCCGAGGTACGCGCGTTAACGACACGCCGGCGACGCAAAAAACCGACCGCGAAGAGTACAAAAACGTAATTTATAACAACGTGTACCGCTATATACCAAGGATACCGTAAAAATTATCGCGTTCGTCTCTGCGGCTGTCGTGCATAATAATAATAATAATAACGTGTCGCCGTCGCGTCACTTTCTCTCGAATTTTCCGACTGCGGACGTCGTCATATTATGTTAGGCGGTTGTTTTGGCGACGCAGTTTTCGGTAAACAGTTTGCTGTTGTCTGATACTCAGCAGTAATATTACTAAAACGTTTTGTTTATTGTACAGTATTTGACCAATGGATAACCACCAGTAACCGAGTACAGTAAACGTAGTGTTTAATATTGTTTGCTGATTCCGGCAACCTGCTTGTCGAAGAGCGCATTCGGTTATCAAACAATCGCGGTGAATAATATCGGCCAAAACAGTTTTGTTGGCTGACCAGTCTGCTAAAACCCGCGTTGCCAAAACACGCCTATTGTATGATGTTTGTGAGCCGTGACACCCCTTTGGATATAAATGATTGAGACTGTCAAATTTATCACGGGACTCGGAGATCTGAAATTTCAAGAGCAAAGAACGTTTGGGCACACCGAAAATATGTATATTTTACATGATATTTTACTAGTGGTATGTCCGTCGCGTTGGCGTAAATAGAGCCTGAAGATTTTCTTCATTTTCTCGGGGAATTTTAAGATACAAGTGCATTTTTGCTTTTTGTTTTATAACGCCATTTTTTTTTTTTTTAATTTTCATATATTCTTGGTGTCAGTTTTTTCAAATTTCGTATTTCAAAGCAATCGATTGTTCGATTGTTATTAAATATTTTATTCCCATGACGTTGAAGTTTTATTTTTATTATGTACACGATTGAAAACTAACTAATAACTAGACTGAAATATCAATGATTGAAAATCAACTAACAATAATTTATTGTGTATGAGTCGATTGCATTAATTTGATAAAAGTTAATCGCAACACTTGATGTACATTTACAGTTTAAAAAACTGGGTAGTAAACTATGGCAAAAAGTTGTATCACAGTCATAATTGTTACCGAAAGTAAATTATACACATTTGGAACGTGGATGTATCTAAAATCTTTTGGTTAAGAAGATATCGTACCCGCATGACGTGTTGTCTCCGCCTCACTTACGCAAGACATGTGTAGAAAATGTACGTTACTTAGAAAAAAACGTCGACGTTTAGATTGAAGTTGTTGTTTTATGATAAATACCAAAATGTAACGAATTAAGTTGCAGTTTAAGTTAGTTAAAAATTGAAAAATAAACATGGTTGTAACTATTTTGTGTAACAAATTTTTTTTTTAGAAAAAAACATGACGTATAGTTCTCAAAAATAATATTCTCTTCTTTAAAGTTTGTTATTTGCGTGTTTAAACTCAATTTCAAATTCCAATCTAAACGTAGTCACAGTTTATGTTCCAAATACGTATGAGAGAAAAGATCATACAGACAGACGGATCTGACCTTTTATATTTATAGTAAATATTATTATAATTACAAGCAGAGACGTATCTGGACTGGGGTCCGAACGGATTATGACTTTTACGGGTAAAAATTGGGTTCAGTGCCCGACTTGCGCCAAAATTTTGAACACGTATAGAGACGTGGACACCGGGCATAAACGGGAATTCGACGAGATTTCAAAAATGGTAATTTTGCAATCCACTAGTCCAATTCGTAATCATCAAACTCGACAGTTTCCTTTGTTTTTTTATTCGTTTATTTCAGCGTCTAACGCGTATTTTTTTTTCTTTTTGCGATTCGTCGAAACTACGGAATTCGATTTCTTTAATATTACGTACACTTACGACATTAATGATGCCAATTTACACCGTTTTAATGCACTAGGATTTTTCACATAAAAACAACCGCGTAAATTATACTAAGTGCGATTTAATTCAATATTCAATGACTTTACATATTATGATCACTCGGCCGTAAGTAAATCTCTATAAGTAAATTGTCCATAAAAATAACGTAATTCTCTATAATTGTGTGGGTAGTTAAAAAAAAAAAAAAAAATAATAAGATGGGCGTCAACGTTCAGCGATTTTATTTTTTTGCCTTAATATTTTTTTTAATCAGGTCGTTAATATCGGATACCGGGTGAACATCAAAACACCATAATGGTGTTTCATAATATTTCAATCTGTTACTAATATCCTATACGTCGTTGTTTCGTATAGGCGATCATTTAAACTATTAAACGAGTTTCCGGTCAACCGAAATTAAAAAAAAAAAAATAACGCACCTATCTAATATTATAAATTTACTATCGTTTTCAATTTTCCAACCGCGGGATCTTTAAATATTCATTGTAGCGTATATAAGAATGCGATTTTAAGTCGTCCGCTCTTTGAAATAATTCACGTACTTTAAACATTCCGCGCTCGTGTTCGAGTACCTATTAATACGTTAAACATTCTACGGTTCTGTGTGCAACGAGGAATGTATTTACTATGTGTTTATTTTCTCTGTGAACAACTTTTCTACCAGCAATTATTTTGCTCCGATCGTTAACTTCAGTGGTGCGTTTCTGGCCGTAAAGCTTGTCTAGTTGGTAAATTAAGAAGTTTATTGTATTACTCGTAGTTATTTCTTAATATTTGGAAAAATCCGAGCCAAAGTTAACGCTTTCTCTGTTATTCTCGTTTTTCCGTTTGCTATTCGGTTAAATAATCATAATTTTTTGTAAACGATAAATAATCGTTTAGTTTTAAATGCATTTTAAATATTCAAGCCACGACGTGACGAAAAACATTTATGTATGAAAAAATGTTCAGGCAAAAACGTTTGGTCGTCGATAAAAATGCGAAAAATGCGATTAGGTTGCGTTTTAGAAACAAAAAAATGGTCGACATAGTTAATTGAATCGCGCGAGTAGGACTATGCCTCCACGGGAAAAAACAATTACGAAACCGACATTATTCGATTTTTGTCGCAATCACGAATAAATTAAAAAAATCGCGGATCCCAGTGACCTTTAAGACACTCGTCGTCCGCGAGTCGAACACGTACGACGAACGTTTTCGATTAATCGGTAAGTGTTAAATGTCAATAGAATTAATGTTTAATTCGTATAGGTATTTTTGACTCTTACGAGTCACGAGTGATTATATTATTATGTATTGTTAAATTCTCATATACTCTCACATAGGTACATGCGCAGTGTGGTTCGATCGATACACGCGTTTAATGAATTTTAATTAAGTTCGCGGGTGGGTCGGGAATATTATCGTCTTTGTACACGGTGTAAATGTATAGTGGCGTAGGTATTTCGGATACAATGGCGTGGGATTTTGAATCGGGGGAGTGGGCTAAATGCGTTTTTGCTTGAGACGAGTGCATAGACGACAAGGGAGGTGTTTGGGGATTCAACCAACTCCTTCCCCCTAAAAAAAAAAAAGAATTAAAAACAAAATGTTCATAACTGTTTTAATGCGATACATTTTAAACGAAAATGTATAAAGAAAACTTAATGATTAAAAATGCCCGAAATGATGCAACGCGTGTGCCCGATGTCTCGGTATTATATCTTGTAATTGTACACCTATTATCCCCTGACAAGATGACTGCTGGACCTAAGAGAATTTCGGCCGACGGCAGTAATTAAATCCGTTTTTCGGCACACCATTATCGAAAAAATAGCTGACTTCGACTACGACCTCACTGAGTCGACGGGGGTGGGGGGGCGTAAATTCCACCACTACGACGTAATTCATACTACGACGTCGGATGTTACTCTCTCAGAAGAAACGTGTTATTATTTGTAATATTATTGTTGTGAGAAAAAAAAAACAAAATCGCAGTCAATCATCCCGTCGCATTTCTCGCAGGTCGAACTCGCGTGTGTCTTCTTTTCCGTCCGCAAAATAATCATAATAACAATAATATTACGCGGCGATGACGGATTGCAAATTTTGTCGAATTCCGTGTCTAACAGTACACGTAAACACGATTGCGCAGTGGGCGATGCCGTCAATACACGAATAATATAATATTGAAGATATTTTGTCGCCAAGTCGGTTTCGGTTTCGGTTTTTTTTTCTTTTTTCGCGTGCCGATCCCCCCGGAAATTCGTTCGTTGAAAACGTGCGGCCGGGCTCGTAACAATTAATTGTCGGAAAACGTTTTTCCGGAAGGTGCCCGTACGAGGATCTAAAACGTGATGTGGGGTGGGAGGGCGGGAGGGAGAGAGGCGTTCGTTGTGAGCGTGTCGTCGAAAACGTATAAATCATCGCGGAATGTAATACTGCGTGTAGCACCACCAATGACGTTTTCGACGCGCGAAAAGTTTCTCGTTCACGATAATTCTCGCGTCAACCCTGTAACGCGAGCCTGTAAAACGTCTCGAACGTTTGGCGAGGCGAACGTATTTAAAAGTTTGGCCAAAATGTCCACCGAAACGCGCAGTCTGTCGTGTTTCCGTTTCTGAAAGTTCGCGATAGTTCACGCGAATGCACAAAAGGAACGTCGTCGTCGCGGAGTCCGAAAAACTCTGATACGAGAACGGTTTTTTTTTTTTTATTTCGTACATAATTTCGTGGTTACGTTAGTATTTCGATAGCACGTAGAGCGACGTGCGCTTTATTTTTTTTTTTACGTTTTAAGATCATTTATTCCCCCTCACGAAGCGTTCTAAAAAAAAAAAAAAACCCAACACCGACGGTCTCATATTGTGACCTTATCGTGGTCACATCTCATCACACATACGACCCGCATTCTACCGAATTTGATGCGCTTCGGTTAACGATTTCGTTACTAAATAAATTAAAAACGTTTTCTTTAATAATAAATTCTCCGCGCACTCGCAGTATTTCACTGCAGGTTTATCTACCGAGAAAAAAAAACAAGGTTACTGGTCGGTTTTTTTAATGGTTATTTTAAAATCCCCCATTTCGCTACCTCACGGTATTGTATAGACCCGGCGATTTCGTTTGTTAATTATCGTTATCACCCGCGGTGGTCTTCGTGTAGGGAAAAGGGAAGATGGATTGGGGAGGTGATTATGATTTAAATCGTTCAAATTTTGTATGGTGTTTTTTTTTTCTTTTTTGTAAATGCAGCATAAGAAATTATCCTAGCCTATTTATAGAATTATTCTTGTTACTAAACGTAGACTTGGTTTGGTATTGGGTCACATATTATCGCAAAAGACTGTTTAAAATTCTGAGCGAAGCAAAGGACGTATTGCTATAACTGTGTGTTTTTTTTGTTTTGTGTCTATACTAAGCAACTTTTCTGCCAGTAATTTTACTTTAATCGAAAATTCATAAGAGTTTTATTGTATAATTTTTTTTATCTAGGTGGTGCATTGAAAAATGATTTTTTTTTTTTTTGATTTTCCGTGTAGTTTTCTTAATAAATGAAAAAAAAAACTGGTAATGTTTTGTATAATTTTTAGATTACCTTGGCAACAAAGGAAAAATTACGACTAATAATACTCTGTTTAGAACCGTTGTTCGCGAACAATAGCTTATCGTCACCTACGAATTATAAATTAAATTGTTCTGTAAATTCTCCATTCCAATTTTTCCCCTAAAACAGTGGCACAGCCATCAGCAGTTTTACAATGTCAGCGTTTTTAAACGGTTTGTTTTTGTTTTTTAAAATCGACTGAAAACTAGTCATTGTAAACGTGATGCCAGGATTATCGCGTGACTTGACGCGAAATAGCACCTACTAAATATTTTTTCTTTTTTTAAATGATCGTTAAAAATTATTATCTTTTTTCGTTTTGTTTCATCGACAACGAATCGTTAATTTTCTTATAACATTTCGATAATTAGTTCGTTAGTTTTTTTTTCCTATATTTTTCCTAATTTATTTGAAACTCTAATTCACGTAGTTGGTTATTTTTTATTTTTGCTCTTTGACACGCTCTAATAGTTTTATAGGAAACAATCGCAATGGATAAACAAACTATACAAATCGTGACGGCGATGAATCAATTGACTCGTATGTATTGACTAAAATCAAATATCATATAAACATTACGATTTTTATCGCCTTTTGGGAAACAGTGACCAGTATAATACCGTGACCTCGTGGTTTTCATTCCGAAATACAATAATTTCCGCTGTGTACCTATCTACGTTTACGTACATAATGATGTTTATCGCACAGTGAATACCCGAAAGGTATTCGCATTTTAAGTTCCAAAGTTCGACGTAATTTCGGTATAGTTATTTAAAAAAAAAATATATGTGTTTTTGTATTTTTTGTATACAATCAATATTATTATGAACATTTTTTAGGAGATAGGTACCGCGTAAAAGAAAATATGCCCATTTCAATAAGTATACTGTATTATATTCCTGTGTACCGCAATTGTGTGACAAATATTCGCAATGTTTTTGTAGTTTACGGGTGGAAATGTTGTTTTTGTTTTACACTGCTGCAGTTCGTCGTTATCTTTTATACACACATTTCAACGGTGTAAACATAAGAGATAAAGACGCCCTTTATCTCCCATTCGTATAATATTTTCACGTTTCGGTCAAAATAAAAGGTAATGACGTGAGCGCCTTTCTCTACGTCTCATTTTCTCTCGGGCTAGAATATAATATTATTATTATTATTACTATACGCGTGTGGTAGACCTTTTGATGTTTGCACAACCTGATTCATTGTTATTAGGCTGGTTCCTTTTATTGTGTTGGGAAATGAAAACCATTTGATTCATTTATGTTTTTTTGCGTAGGAGTGCTGCTAACCATAAAAAACGCCTCGAGTAAAGTATAATGTATGTGCATATAAGACGTAAAAAATATGTCGTAATAATAACATTTTTCTACCATATATTATGTACAAGTTTCCTCCCTCCCCCTCCCAAAGAAAAGTAGCAGCTATTTATCAAACCGGTGATGATTTTTCTCGAATCCGGAGCGAACACGGCAACACCAACAAAAATCTAGAGAAAGACTCGGGGACAGATTGATTTACGTAGTAGAAGAGAATTTGTAAAGCCTGAGAGTTGAAAAATGAAAAATGGAGAGAAGCAGTTCAAGATAGAAAAAGTTGGCGAAGTGCCAACGTCGACAAAAACTCTTAGACATTACTATGATCATTAAAAGAGAGAGAGAGAAAGAAATAGAGAGGGTGTTTACACTGGAATTACGGACCGGTTTTTTATTTTTTTTTCTTCTGATTATTGATTTCTGGTTTCTTTGGTACCGCGTGATAAATATTCGCTACAGTGAGACTTAGCCATACGCTGATGCCTTTTCACTTGGGATTTTTTCGGCCGGTTTTTGCGTTTATTGTATTTCGGAACGCTAATAAAAGGCGCAACAAATAATAGCATTACTCGTGTCCAGAAAAAAATAATTTATCTGTCTACCCGTGTCAACGATCGCGTTTATGTATTATTATTACATTATTATTTTTGCATATTATCGTTCAGGTTGTCGTTCGTATTCTTTGGATGACAAAACGTTGTCCTCGAACTCTCTTACGACTATTATTCGATAATTTGACGTGGAATTTTTTTTTTTATTATTAATAATTTTTTCCGTTTTATATAATATATTAATATAATATTCGTGCATCAGCCGACGAATCGATTCTTCTATTTCTATATAAATCGCTTATATTATACAATATTATTATTAATCGACTTGGGTGTTCCTGCAGCAGCACCGGAAGAGGTTCCGTCCGAAGACTTGCATGACAACACACATGTTATGCGAAGATGATGGTGTATTTGATATCGGAGATCATAAATCGTCGTTGGCAAATATTTCTGGAAAACCCGGAATGTACATGACTGGTACGTTCCAAATTTGGACCGTAAAAATCTGAATTTCAGTGTTTTACAGACATCGGAATTTGAACTGTATAAATCTAGAAAGTAGAATTTTTGAAATCCAGCGAAATTATAATTTTAGGTAGTTTATAGCAATAATTTAAACATTTTACTTCCCAGATGTATTCGGTTCAGATTTCGGTATCCATAATAACCCCGGATTTCAGATTTGTACTTTCCGTATTTGACCACTTCAGACTAATACTTTCCTGCAGGTTTTTACGCGTTCCCGTCGTCTCTGTGATAGTCACTAACACGATAAGGGCAGGAACGTTTGGGCTGAACTTTGTTCCGCATTATGAAAAACTTCTCTTTCGACTGTAATATACTATACACAGTGTATCTACAGAATTTAACGAATTCCTGTATTATGAAATCGCATACGAAACTGATAAATCTTGCAGATACACTCTGTATAATGCGTTAACGTTTGTGGACGGAAATGTTTCGGGTTTTTTTTAAATTGTATTTTTTTGTTTTTCCGTTAACCATAATTTATAACATCACGTGCGACAGTACTGTATTATACGTATACGTACCTATATATATTTTAATTCTACGAAAAATTGCACCGTAATAAATTTTAATGTTGAGACTTCTTTTTTTTTCTTTTCGATGCGCATAAAAAACATCGTTTCTGTAGTATATATATATATATATATATATATATAATAATAATATGTTCATGCTACATATTTTTCGCACTAAACTCATTAAACAACCTCAGGTTTTCTATTATTATAAGTCAGTGTCATGGAGTACACGGAAAGTTCTTAACAGCAAGCTTCCTGTCGCGCCGTTGAGTTTTTTTTTACGAATAAATTTATCGAAATAATAATATGTCTAACACACGAACAAGCGCTTAAGGTCAACACGATAATAAGTAAGAACAAAATAATGGGATAGGTATTATAATCTTAGATGCGCTATAACAACCTCAGACGCATTTTAATTCCCGTTGTCGGAGTAGATATAACGGAAAAAAATACTGCGATTTAATCACGAATCATGATTGCTATTTACAGCTACTACAGCCCTTCCCATTGCAAATTTCTGGACAAGCTATATACTTATTTTATTATAGTATTATTATTTTGTCAACGAAACTCAACAAACTTATCAGTCGAGTTCCTATAAAATATATAGGAACGATTTAAAGACTTATACTTAATCGTTATATCGCTTTATACCTGTTAATCTACCTGTTGCTTTTTACGCACCCTGTTTTTAAACTAGTGTTTTTTTTTTTTTTACTGTGTAAACGTTTATGTACAATTACTAACTATTTTCATGTATGTACCTATTTTAGATTCGAAATGGAGCGAGGAATCTATTGGTTTTATTGTGATGTGTGTTAGATTTAGAGCGTAACGAGAGATCAATTGGTTTTTTTTAAATATTTTTTTGTCTTTAAATAAATTTTCGAACAGAAAACTTGTTCCAATCGAAAAATGACAAAAGAACTATTTTAATGCATTTTGGCTTTAGTTGATGCATTAATATTGATCATTTTTTGATTTTTCGTGGGATTTTCAAAATAATTGGGAAAACTGGAAAAAAATGTATAAGTAAAACAGCAAATATTTATTTAAAACCTAACCTAACCTTATGGCACACCGTGATATTACCGATTTAATTATTTTAAATTTTTATGCTTTATATTTTCTACCAGAAATATTGTTTAATTGGAAGACGAAATGAGGCTTTATTTTGTATTTTTAATTTGGTTGGTGAGTAAGAAAGTTGTTTTTTGATTTTCCGTGTAGTTTTCTTGACAGTTGAGCAAAGCCGAAAACAAACGTAGAAAAAACAGGAATGTTTACGGGAAAAATAGTTTTATTATTTTTAATTGTGTTGTTCTGTTGTAATATTCGTAGAGACGAGTCTCAAAATTTTGAAATAAAACTTATATTTATCTTTTCTAGTTTTGGTAAAATTTAAAAAAAAACATTTGACCAATTTTTAGGCTATTAGTAGAAATTTTAATTTTGCGAGTTTTTCACGTAATTTTTATTCGGTATAGATACTTTAGTAGTTATAAATGTATAATACATTTTGTTGTTGAAATTTTTGATTTCCGTAGCCGGGATATTCCACTTTTAAGTTTGGGTCAGGGGAGATTAGTGAAGTATCATTTGTGCGGAGGCACGGGAAGTGGCGTTTAATAATGCACCACTACTTTCTCCCAACCCAAAACTGCGTAAATTTCAAACAATATTATTACCTATTTGAAACAGTTTCGAGAGAAAAATAGTAAAACGTTTAACTATGTTTACATAACGGCCTGAACATGGCAATAATGTTTTTTTTTTTTTTATATACAATTTTTTTTTATTTTAACGTATTCTAACGCTGTTAAAAAAAAACTAAATTAATATTTAATAACACGGAAATTATACACGGAAAATAAATACGGAAATTGCTGCGGTCTAAAACGGGGTGCGTTAACGAATCCAGTTTAAACAACGACCGCGCAATCAAGATTGTTTATGTGTTTAAATGATAAATTAATAAATAAGAATGAATGCGTTTAAAACATGATCGTAGATACCGTATGTCTACAATCGCGGTTTAAAAATACCGGTGATGGTAGCCGCAGTTATTTTAAAATTGTTACGTACTATTATAATAATATACACTTTTTGTTACCGATGTTCAAATATTCTTCTCGGGGCGACTTTTTATAATTTCTTTAACGATCTCCCAGTTTTTTGAATATAATTATATTATTATAATGCGAGCGATTGTGAACTCGCGGCGAAAAAGTCTCCGCGGAGCAATACTAATATACATATAATGGAAAGTTCGCTAGTAACAAGTAAACAAAAACTCGTTATTTAAACGATTGAAAAAAAAAACTGAAAGAGAGTAATATGACCACAACGACGATGTTACGCATTATCGTGAAGAAACTTTTACACTATGATATAATTATACATAATCAAATTATATTACCACTCGAAATGAATTATATAAAGTTATAGATACACACTAGCTGTCTCGATCGCAGTGCTGCGCTATTGCTAGATTTTAGTCTAGATTAGTAGATTAGTATAGATAGTTTGTTAGATTTGTAGATGAAACGAGTATAATTGAAATTTTAATATCGGTAAATATTAGATACTTAAATTTATACCTACCTACATGTACGAATAAGTAATATTATGGTCGCTAAACAATTAAGATTACAACACACATAAATTATTACTTTATACTCAGCCAAAACTAATGTTTATAGGTCCTCTATTTCTAGATCGAGGATTGCAATAGCTTTTAAATCACTCGATGGATTACGAAATTCTATTTCAATCTAAGAAATGATGTCATATTCGTAGTATTAATATGGCGGTATGTGTTTAAGTATTTTTTGAGATACTGAATATAGCAACGGAATAGCTATTGAGTTATCTATGATATTGTAGTTTTTTCTCACTGAAAAACTCATTTTGGTTAGTAAAAATGCTCCAAATTGTTCATCCTGTACATTAAAATAAAAAGGTTTCGGGTTTTCGCCCGGCACAATTTTTTCTAGATCCCCGGCAGTTTTCTTTTATAATAAAAAAAAACCTGATAAAACCGAAACCGTTATCGTCGTATGATATGTCACAATATGACTAATATAGATATAATTTGCTTCGAAAATTGGGGTAAAATTTCAAGTAGACAAGTTATTCACGTACAGATATAAAAAAATAATAATAAAACAAATTCTAGTAAAACCAATCAATTTTTCACTACTCTCCAAGATTTAAAAATAAAAACACGTTTTGCGAGTGTGATTTTTAATGGTTGATCTGTACAAATATTTTGTTGGTATTCTTTCGTTCATCAATAGGCAATAACTAATTCAACTGAATACCAAATAACCTTATGACAATACCGGATCTTTTTTCTGTTGCAGGAATTCAAAAATGTTTTGGTGGTGCAAGTGCGTCGTTGCCAGTTTGGCGATGGTATTATTGACCGGCACCGGGACCGCACGGTCCGCCGCAGTGCAGCCTGTCCCAGCGACCCAGGCCCAAAAATGCGTACCCCCCGGACCGGGACTGTCGCTCAACGACTTTCTGTCCGGTAAGTTTTATCTGTTCGAACGGCAACAGGCTTTCAGCATCAAACTTCTGCAGACCGCCGTAGCCGCATCGCCGAAGCAAAACTTGATTTTCTCGCCGCACAGCATATACACCGCGGTGCTGATCGCATACTTTTTGAGCGGCAACCGGACTGAGGAATCGTTAAAGGGTTTCCTGAACTTACCGGCAGATCAGGTAACAAAAACGAAAATATTCGCTTGCTAAATTGTAGGGGCAAAGTTTCCGAATTGCCAATTGAAAGATAGATGTTTTTTTTTTTTTTTGCTTATTATCAATCAAAAAATTCCCTTCAAAATTATGTGTATTGCAACCAACTTAAAACGAATTTAGATTTTTTTCCTACCTACGCATGTTTCATAATATGCGATTGTTGTTATTTAAATTTTTTGTTTTCGTGGTTTACACAAACAAACAGTAACGTCGCAGTTCATTTTTTATGCGGTATAGTGTTATTGGCAAAACAAATAATATATTTCTTTTGTGTGACGAACATTTGCGGAATCGCGAACGTAAAAAAAAGATACTAGTGTAAATAATAATAATTGTACGGGTTCATGTGTAACTCACAGCCGCGTGTTTACGGCGTGACCCTGTAAAAACAAAGCGTCACCGTCGTTTTTTGCGATAACATCGCATTCAAAACAATTATCGTTATCGCAATGTAATTGCTGTAGTTGTTTCAGAAACAAAAAAAATAAAAAAAAACAATTAATATGCAAAACAACGACTGGCGTATAAAGAATTCCGGATATTCATTCACTCGGAATAGGTTTACGCGCGTCGAAAATGGCAAATGATCGCAGCACTGCAAAGCCAACACTGATGGTACATATAAAAACATCATGAGGTGTGCAATTAAAAAAAAAAAAAAATCAATTGTGTAGATAATAATACATTGTGATAAATGTTAATGCGATACCTCGTTAGTCGCATTATACGAGTACGCGTATATAATTATCGTAATTCACGAAAATATCCGGGTAGAAGATCAGAATATTTATGTGTGGATTGGACACGCTTGGTGAAGTCTGAATCCATTTTTACGTGCACGGTAATGGAAGAGAACCCGGAAGGAAAGAGGCCTCTCGGGAGTCCCAGTTTGAGATGGGAAAATGTTGTGGTGAGACACGTGCCGTGCGGTATCTTTAAACGTAGTATAGCATTAGACTCGAAATTAAGAGCCGCTGACAGGGAGAATTGAAGGGTTGAGTATGTGACGGAGTGATCTAGTGTGGCTTTTAACTCATAAGAGAAAAATAAAACAAGTATTATGACAAATTGTTATACTCGCAGTTTATTCAACGTGTTAGACAACAAAACGTGAGACATTATTCAAAAGTTGCTACAGATACTTTTCGTGAAGTTAATCGGTTTTTCTGGTAAGGCTTTTATGTTGGAACACGTCAGATAATAATACGTGATATTAGAGTAGGTATCTTCACTGTATAAGTAATAAATTTCAGTTTTAAGAATGAAAAGAAACAATTTGCCGAAAAATATATAACAGCGTATATAACAATAACAATATCTGATTGAAAAAAAAAAAACTTTAAAATAAAATATATACACTTACAGTTTTGGCGAAAACTATGATTGGAAATAATTGGTAAAAAAAGGGGGGTGTTTTGAAATTAATAAATAAATATACATATAAGAAGGATAGGATTATGAAAACTTTATATTAAAAAAACAAATTGACATATTTGCACAATAGATGGCCAATGTTGTAGGTGAGAAGTTGGGAAGGTAGAGGGAAAATTTAATGTCTATCTGTATGTAAAGTTTTACCATTATTAACTAAAAATGATTCTGAGTGGAGTTTAAAGGCCGCAATATTTACGAATTGAAAATAATATATTTCGTAAATTTTCCCGTTTTTCTCACGTTCTCCTATTTAATTTAAAAACCCTTGGGAATGTCCTTCATACAGTACTATCCCAGTTAAATTTTGTTTCAGAAAAAGTTCTGCGTTTAAAAATCGGAACAAAATTTTTGGTAGAAAATTTGTTTACAGAAAAAAAATAAACATCATTGTAAACCAATATACTCGTCGCCCTACTCAGAATCTAAAATATGATGTTTATTAAATAACGAAAATGACCTATTAATACAAAATTATTACGAAATTTCAAATAAGTAGAAATAATAGTTTTTTCCCGAGTAATGAATTCAAAAATAATCTTTGAACTTTTTCAGTAATATATCCTACATTCTTTGTTAATAATCTATATTTTATCAATTAACTTTCAACTATAGTTAAAGTTTTTAGGTTTGAGTGGACTTTTATTATGTTTTGAGTTTTTATATGGAATGATTTTTTCGAAGTCTAGACTTTTATTGACTTGTGTGTTTTTATTTATGCAGAGCAAATTAAGTGTGATGCAAGCGTACAGAATGGAAAAACTGTTTCATTCGATGAGAGCGGTTAACACCAGTTCGGATTACGAGTTCAGTTCAGTGGACCGTCTGTTTGTTTCGCAAAGGCTGCCGCTGCAAAAGTGTGTGGCTGACGTGTTTAAGAACGAAGTTCACAAAATGGATTTTGTCGTCGATCCTGAATTGGCCCGTTTGTACATCAATAACTGGGTGGCCAACCAGACCAACGGACACATTAAGGATTTGGTGCCCTCATCGCAGATTTCTTACAACACGAGACTCGTATTGGTGAGAAAAAAAAATAATGCTTGTCCTCTGTGCCTACTAGGCTACCCGGTTTTCGCATGTTACACCACGCATTTTTATATGTAGGCGAATGCAGCATACTTCAAGGGTCTATGGAGTTCAAAATTTTCGTCTGAAAGCACCAAGGAGGAAGTGTTTTACACGTCGCCTACCGAAAACGCATACGTTCCAATGATGTGGCAATCTGGCATGTTTAACTTGCGTGAGTATATAGAATATATTTAATAAAAAAAAAAAATAGCAAAGATGGTAGCAGAGTAATTATAATAAAATACAATATTTTTTTTGTAAATCACGCTAATATTTTTGTGAAATTTTAAATAATCATTTTTTGTTATTTCCATTGCAGTGAGCTCTGACGAACTAGGGGCGCACGTGTTGGAACTCCCCTACAAAGGCGGTGACGTCAGTCTATTCATAATTTTGCCGCCGTTCAACAAACAGCGGGGTATTAGTTTATTGACCAAGAGACTAAACACGGAAATCCTGCAGAACATAGTGTCGTCCGGAGATTGGCGGTCGAGGTCCGTTGAAGTATCCCTGCCTAAGTTTAGCGTCGAACAGACCATGAGCAACCTCGTGCCGGTGAGCGTTTTGAAAATAATTTGTATTTTACATATTATACAAAGCGATTTTCTTTTTATTAACCGTCAAATTTTTCTCCGTAGTGGATCGACCAGGACGTTTTAGTTGGTCCTGGTACGAAATTTCACAATTAATCTGTACAAAATTTCATCTATTCCTCATGATCTGATATTTACCTAAATAAAGAGGTAGATGAAAGAAAACCGGCTTCCATCTACATTTAACTCGCTCTGTTTTCGTAAATTGTTTGATGACGTTTCATCGTCTTTTTTTCTCCATGAAACATGCCTATCACAAATTGTCTATGTTGCTTAACAAATTCTACAATTTACCTTTGTATCACAGTACATAACTCATGTCGTTTCCGTCAAAGTTTTACTATAACGTAATGTATATATTATTACTATTGCGTTCCCAATTATTATGCTTTTTATTACCAAACGGATCACCCAGATAAAATTTTCTTTCTAAAAAGGTACTACACTTGAAAATTATAGCGAAATTTCTGGTAGAAAATTTGTTTACAGATAAAAAAAAAAAATAAACATCATTGTAATATTAATAAATTCCTCGCTCCGCTCAATATCTAATACATATTTCGGTATATCGGACAGATTTTGGAACAGATGGGAATCGGAGATTTGTTCAAAAGCACTGCCGATTTGTCGGCGCTGACAGGCAGCCCAAACGGCGTGACTATGGACGAGGCGGTGCACAAGGCAAAAATCTCGGTGGATGAGGAGGGCACCATAGCCGCGGCGGCCACGGCGTTCATATCGTCCAGGTCTTCTAGGCCGGCCGAGCCCTTTAAGTTTCGGTGCAACCATCCGTTCGTCTATTTCCTGTTCGACAAGATCACCGGAGCGGTGCTTTTTATGGGCGTATACAATTCACCGAAATCTAACTAGGGATTCCGCCGATTGACATTAGTTATTATTATTATTATTATTATTATTATTATTATTATTATCGTTGTCGTCGTTTACTATAGAATAATATTATTATTATTGCGAAAGACATAGACAGTATAGTAATTCCGAGGTGTAAATATTCTTTCCATATCATCCGTCTTCATTATTACTATTTATTGTGTACATATTATTATAAATTAAACCGAGAATACCGTTCTTGCGCTGCGGTGGCATACCCGTTTTACCCTTGAGTGGTTTTTTTTTTCTTTCAAAATATTGTATTAGTATAATATAATTATAGGATAAGATTTCAAAATGTTCTTTTAATTTTTTTTCTTTAAGTTTCGTTACATTAGATAAACATTCCTGAAAATATTTTCCGCCAACCGCGGTCTTTTGCTTCAAAGACGGGACGAACTGCCGTCGCCACCGCCGTTTACCTAAGTTTTTAAAAAGTTTTTATTTGTAAATTTAATATTTGTGCATCTCGTTTCGCGCGTTCGCGCCCATGTAAATAAATTATATGTGTGTACAATATAATTATTATAATTATAATTGTTTAATTTGGACAATATAATAAGTGTGCGTGTGTGTAATAAACTTTTTAAACGAAATAAATTATTGCGTGAAAACGTGTTTTAGGTACATTTTATACTCGTATACCTACGTCTTATTTATGCGAAAACCCGTTTAAAACTGTTACGCAAACGTTGAAAAGTTAAACAAACGAATAAGTTTAAAATTGTGATTTGTTTCGAAACGACGCCCGGTGACTCGAACATTCGTCAGTTTTCACGTAGGAAGAACACAACATACTAGCTGTTCCAATAATAACAATGACAATTATTATTACAAGTTAAGTCAATAGGCAAATGTCCGCAGTATTAACACTCCTCGCGTCTCGAATAACGGAACGTTAATGATATTTAATAGTTTATTATAATATGTTTTACACGTAGACCTATAATATGAAATGGATTAATAACAGCTGAGAGCATTGCGGTTTTTTGGCTTTTTGCCGACGATGTCAAAATATGAAGCTCTAGCTGAAGTTCAAAATGAACTCGACAGCTTAGCTGTGTGGCTGGATAATCATGGACTTTCACTAAATGTAAACAAGTGTCAAGTAATGTCCTTTACAAGGCGTAAGTCTCCTATTCTTTTTGACTACTCTCTAAAAGACCACTCACTATCGAGAGTAACCATTAAGAAATATCTGGGTGTCCTTACCTCTAATTTAGATCACCATCCCTATATTAAGCATGTCACCTGTATATGTCTAAAAACACTAGGGCTTATCAAAAGCGTCTTTTTAGACCGATAGTTGAATATGGCTCAATTCTTTGGGATTCTTATACATCCTCTCTCTCATATCAACTTGAACATGTTCAGCGTAAGTTTCTTAATTTCGCTTCTTCTTGTCTTAACATAGAACATGAATCACATGACTATTCCCCTATCCTGCATCACTTAAAGCTTAGTAGTCTATCCGATAGAAGAATGTTAGTCATCTTTAATTTCCTAATAAAACTCGTAAATGGTTCCATTGAAACACTTGAACTTCTTGCAGAGGTTAATTTTAGGAATCCTGGTAGGTTTCCAGATTATTTGTTCCCTACTACGATCCTCTACACCACACTAACTATAGCCGCAAACATCCCATTCACCGTATAGTAAATGAGAACTTCTCTAGCCAATAATACCTTTATACTGTTGTGTTTTAATGTAATTTTAAACTTTTTCTTGTGCAGTAAGTGTGTACCTTGAGCATGTACCCGTGATGTAAATAAACTAAAATAAAAATAAAACGGTTCTTTTTTGGTCAATGTAGTATTTTCAATAAAATTATATAAATCTCATATCATCCATGTCCAGAAGAATAAGGAACTGTAACTAACGTTTTTAGATGTTCCCGTACTTCGCATTTTTGATAACAATATCTTATGATAAGGTACCATCCAAATACTGGCTCACCCACCTAATTTTATTATAAAATAGCTAATTCATAGGATACCTATTCACGCTGCTACTGCAGTGTCCGTAACCAAAATAAAATGGAATTTACGTTTGTTTAAAGTGAACTTAAGGCATCTTTTTAGCATAGTAATGTTAGGCAATTTATATGTCAATTTTAAAAGAATGATATGCATGGTTTCGACGATAAAAAAAAGGCAATCACTTTCATTGGTCCAAAAAGAGCAATAATTAAAACTTGATTATTTTTTTATTTTAATTTATAACGCCAAAATTGACAATTCTGTTACAGATTAAGTTTACAATTAAACTATGCTATAGTGGGAAGAGTTACAACAGGGGAGTAACTTAAATCTAAGTGGAATGGGTGATAGTGGTTCAGAATAAGTAATATTGACAAGATGCAGAGAACAGTTTTGAGGTGATGAAGCTCATAAGAGGTGTTGGTGGTAAGGCAAGTGGAAAAGAGAATAAAATCTGATTTAATAGATGAAGCATAAAATTAATGAGCGAAATTCGCCATATGTTTAAGAGAACGCTGCTATTCTTAGGTTAAGAAGTAGGCATCTAGGTAATTATTTATATATATTTTTTTTTATCAAAAGATAATAAAATATATTTTTTACAATTTCAGAACAGTTATGTTGTTTATAATCGTATATAGTTTAGTTTGACAAATGTATAAATACATCGATGGATATTTTAGTATGGATAATCCCGGTAATGGTATTTTCGTCTCGTCATTATGATGACTTAGTATCTACTATTTTTAAAGCAATTAACCAAAATTTAATATGGAGAAATGCTTCCCCTAATCAATATATTATAGTATGTCAATATTTTTTAAGAGATAAGTTCCTATAGTTCCTCTAGCTTCATTCGATTATTGTAAACAATTTTTTTATCGAACACAATTAATAGGTAGGAACTTAACGTGACTGATAGTGAAAATCGATTTAATAATAATTATAATTAATCGCCGTTCGAAACTATAATAATTTTAATAATATATAAAAAAAAAAATTTACGCAAACAATAACTTTCTTAGGTGGGATTATTGTCTCGTCTGAAACGCTGAGATAATGAAAGTTTACGTATTTATAGAAGTATAATCTAATAATGTACATAATAAACTAAGTATATGTACATTATTATGCATATACATAGTATATATACATTATTCATCATTTTACCCACGCGTGCCACGTGGCTATAGTTGTATAATTAAAAGTACAAATTAATTATGCGACAATCATTTAGTTTTCTCAAACTGAATTGGCATAGTTTCTTTTTTGTCGGTTTTGTTATTTTCATACTTAAGTACCTAGTATATTATTACGTACATTATATTATGCGTAACTCGTTTACTATTTAAAATTGGTGTTGTTAATTATATTAACAATATTGTTTGTGTTTTTTACGAGTTTAGTGTTCAAATTGAAATTTAAAACACCCACATAAAAAATTGCTCATTTTCTCCGCCGCACGGAAAACATAGGATCCTGATTATAAGATTATGTTTAATTATGATATGTTGTCGTTAATATAGAAACTAGATTGTTAGTCTTAGTTATTAACGTCGCATTACATTAAAATTATAATCCCCAATTTTCGACTGATCCAATATACCTCGTTTCAAAAACATATCCATTAATATTTTGAATACTCCTCGGGTAATAGTAATGATAATTATTATTAGTGGTTGGAATTGGTGTGTAATTATTGTATAATGAAATTGCAATATATTATTGTACGGCTTTATTCTAGTAAGCCGCGTACAGCGCGGTAACACTACATTTTTACATGTTTCATAAGAAATCAGCCTAAATTTCGTAACCTTCAACCCAAATTAAAATTTTTAATTCAAAGAAATATTAAATAATTTGTGGTAGTATTATTTTTATTTTAGTCGGTAGTAAAATAAAATATGTATGTAAGTAACTTACAAACTTTAAACAAATTATATAATGATGCAAATATAGTTTATTTTTCTTTTATTGGAAACATCTAACGTAAATGCATTTTTGGTTCATGTTCATAAACGGTAAATATCGAATAGTGTCATTTGTTGAATACAAATTGATTTGTATTATTAAATTTCTTTTGTAGCATACGAAATTGCGCCGTAATACATTTTTTACCTTTACGAATTTTAAAAGCAGTTTTAAGCACTATTCGCTTTGTATATTATATTTTATTGGACGCAGGACCTTTTTTGAGAAGAATATTTTTTCTTTGCTTTGTTGTGATGGAACAATATTACATTCCTCCATTCTCTGTTTATTTATAAAATATAGAATAATAAAATACGTACCGGAACTGCATGTATATTCTACGGCTGAATTTACACAATCGGAGAAAGGTTCCGTGCGAGTTAACAATTCAGTGCCTCCTTGTCGCGCGATATACAATTTTTTTTGAGATAATAAAAAACATTACATCTGTAAATACGTATGAAACTTATGCAGCTCATATGTGTCGTAAATTCAACGTGGCTTATTCATTGGGTTTCACATCGAATCACTTCTAATAATAAAATATAATTCTAGTGAAATCAGCATTTAAATGACAAATAATAAATTAATAATACAACTGTCGGTCGATTGTCCATCTACCATTTTACATAGTGGCGAAACGAATGCGGATAGATTAGGTTTGGTTTTTGAGAAGCGTTTGCTTCTTGGTTTTTTCTGTTTAGTGTTTAGAGCGGGATGAGCGTGTTTAATATGAAAATAAATAAATATTTTCACTCGTAATTTTCACTACTAATTTAGTGAAAAATGATGAGTCTAGGTAGACATTGTAGTTTATTTTTTGGGTTATTTTAGATTCGTTTCGCCACTGATTTGTTTGAAAATATTTATATTGATTATATCGTCTGATTACTTATGTGTAAATCACATACTTACTAATATTTTTTGGATTTCGTTACGAAAATGATATTTTCGCCATTATATGCATATTATTTTCGTAAGCATTAATAAAAATTGTTATTCCGATCTATATTGCCAGATGATGAACCAATCAAAAAACCCTAAATCGAATTATTATTATAATTGCAAATACAGGCTTGTTGTTTTATTATTGCTCCGCTCGGGATTATTACACGTTTCGTTTTACGTTCGTTATAAATAATTTACAAAGTCGTGTATAACAATTATAATAATATGTTTGCATTATACTGAATTGTAATTTCCCGTTCAGTCCCGCCCCACTCCTCCTACCAAAAAAAAAAAAAAAAACATACAAACGATAAAACTGGATGTTAATATAAACAACCTATGTACAGGTATGTAAAATGTAAATCGCAAATAACGGGGATGGGTTTTGGAAGTTGACCAGGATTTTTATTTTGTTCGATACACAAGTAATAAATAAGTTCATTAATATACAATACACCTATACCCTCATTAAATCCAATGCTCGATTTTTTTTTTTTAATTTAATTACTAATTAGAATTTAGTAAGTTACTGAGTAACTACGTACTTTAGTAATTACGTACTTTTATTATTTACATAATCTTTTTTTATAACTGAAAATGTATAGAATAATATACAGGATGACGTTTTAAGCATGCTTACCGAATTTTTATGGTGACATTGTTTGTAAATTAAAATTCTGATTTTTGGAATTTTTATGTGTAGTGAACGAAAATGTTTTCGCATACGTAGATTTCTCACAAAATTTAAAGAGTATCCTGTGGTGATAAGGAAATTATCGAACAGACGAATTTTTTTTTCAAGAAAGTTTTGACGTATTATAATCGAAATTTGAACGAACAGTTTATGAATTATTCTGCTTTATATAATAAGGACAATAGTGGCTATATGGTTTTTATGTTTATTTAACATTTTTCTAATCTACATAATATAATATAATAATAATATTTTTAAAAATCGTTCTTTCGTCAAATTTTTCCCGAATATAGAGATTATTGCACTAATATCGTGCCTATTATGTATTATATACCTATTTTTCTCACTGTTTTTGGACATTTCTATACCAAATGATATCAAACTCGGGAATTCGAGTTGTTTTGTAGGTGAATTGAAGTGATTCAAGTTAGGTAGAATTTATTATGAACTTAATTATGGACATGCTTTTTGGTGGTTTTAACATTAAACTCCATTTCATTTTTATGATTAAATATCACATTTTTGGAGGTAGTATATTATAGATATAGAAGACGTATACTTAGTATTATTTATTGTACGATTATATAATTTATTGCCTATTTATTGTTTTGCAAAGAATATGCTTAATATAAGAAAAAATAGGAGAGGAAAATGCGTATATAGTAATGAAGCTCTGTTATCCGTGGGAGGTGGGTGGTTATATTTGTATAGCATTATTATCGACATTCTACGATATTTCACCGCGGGATATTTCAATAAAAAGATGAAAATGTTCCGTTTATTTATAATAATACATTGGCAGAAATATAATAAGTGTCTTCGAATTAGTATTATTATTATTTAGTATAAGTATTTTGTTCGTTGTACATTTTACTGGATGTAACATTTTTCTCATTTTTACAGTTTCACGTTTTACGTTAGATACGTATTTGGTATATTATATTTAATTTATTAACATCAGCATACCCATCGGAATATAACTGCGACAACTGACAAACACTTTCTTTTGTTATATTGTTATACTAGAAGACGGCGGCGGCGTCGGCAGCGTTTCAATCGTTTTTCTAATAATATTATTTTTATCGCCGCCCGACGAACATTTCCGTATACAACACATCGTCCGTTTCTGTGCTTTTGTCGCGGCGCAGAAGGAGAAAATATAAATCGGACGTGATGAAAATAAACCCGTCGTCACCACTATCGCCGCGTATACAAAGGGATGCAATAAAAACATGCCTTGCTATTAGTATTGTTTGGTATATCGTGTGGCCAAGTATTTCGGATGTGAAATAAACGTCGAAAATAACGTAAGTTTGATCGCGCGATAAAAGAATTACGAGAAGCGACAAC